AAAAGTGGAGGATAGAACTTTTATTACCTTCCACGCTCTTCGGGGGATTCCTGTAATTTTGTTCTACTTCGATACTTGACAAAATGGCCCATGCATTTATTGCGCAAGATTTTCTAGTGGTATATCCTAGCTCCTCATTAGAAAGATTTTTCATCAAACATTAACATGTTCTGTATTGTTCATGTTATTCATCAAGATTTTGTATGGTATTTCTGAGAATCTATGAGACAATTTATTTTAAAATCTTACGTAATAAGTGCATGGTCCCAAAGCATAGGTTATCTTCAATTGAGAAACTGGGTAAATCCGCTAAAAAAATTGTCTTGATATTGATCCGACTTCGGTTTGACATGTGTATTAGAGATACTTTAATGGTTTTAATTCACAATCCTATTATTATTATTCTAGTTTGTTACTTCTTCATTGCATTTCAAGCTTATTGCTTTTCGCATATATTAGCTTAATATGTGCTCTCAACTTAGTGTTCTAGATGCACTTGCTCATTTATTAATTGAGAGCTTTTGATGCCTGTACCATTTTTGCATTAATATAATTATGTGGCAAGGGAAGTCAAAACATTTTCCAATTATTTTTAAAAATTATATAAAGATCAGTGTTCATAAAATTATTCTCAAACCTCATTCACTGAGTCTCCCAGAGAGAATAAGCTCGCGTATGTGACAAATGTGACAAACAAATCTCACACTTAAGATTATCATCAATTTTGACATAAAATTGAGTCATAATAGACGCGAAATTCAGCTCAATCAAACGTCATTTTCGTCGAGTAACGAACTTTTCAGTCTCGGAACACTTAATATGACATGTTTGTTTACGTCTCATCCTTTATGTCAAAGATGGATTCCGTCACGTGTAAAATTAGGCATTCCTAAGTGTGTAATTTTAGTTTAAAACCTATTAAAAACGCTCATACGTCAATTGATAGCATGCTTATGTTGAGAACAAACAAATCCGGACACGAAAATCTTGTTGGGGTTATAAAATTAGTTTTATTTTTCATAGTTGAATGCGTGCGATGCGACACATCTAAATCTCAATTTAAGATCGTCAAAAAATCTCACGATAGCGAATCAATCTACGAAATCTATCTAATAAATGTGCGCGCATCTCACAACAGCAAAGGAAAATTTTCCTGCATCTTAGATAGAGTCGCTCCCATCGGTTCAATGTAACAGCTATACATTAGTAGGTAGATTATGCTTATTGTAAGACCATTGTTTCAGTCTTCCTTCTTACCATAGGTTATTGCTCGAACTTTTCTTCAAACACGACCCATCATCTTTGCACGAGCCCTGTTCCCCAAATGGCTGCCAAATTCCATTTCCGCTTGAAATCCGTCAGGTCAATTGCAGTTCCACCCCTTTTCTGCAGTAGGTGCTTCACAATTGACCAGTATTGCTCGATTGACCTTAGTTCCGGAGTATTGGTTGGATTCATTTCCTTGGGAACCACTGTGACGCCATTTTCACTGTATCACTGTTTGGTGGAATTTGAGTAGTGGCAGCTTGTCAAGTCCGGCCAGAATAGGCAATCACCTCATGCTGCTCCAGAAAAAGCAGTAGTCTCTTTCGTAGGCACTCCTCCAGGTAAATTTGCTGGTTCATGGTCCCAGAAGTAACGAAAGTTTCGCTTTTCAGCCCACAACTGCAGATTACTTGCCAAACAAAGAACTTTTTGGGGAATTTCGACTTCTTTTTGATTTTACATTCTTCCGGTCAACCGAAGTATAAAACTCCTGGCCAGAAATTTGGTTGGAGCGGATAGACTGGGATTTTCGTTTCGAGCGAGTATCGAATCGCGACGTGATTGCACTTCACTATGGTCCGAATCGACAATTTAGCAGGAAAAAATGTTTTCTCCGTTGTTGTTCATTTTAGATGCTAAGTGTCGTTAAAGAAGTTGTTTGTTATCATACCATGCTTCTTTTGAGCAAAAATCCGGTTAGGGTGGTCCTCATTTAAATCCAAATTCAAGTTCTAACTTTTTTGTTTCAGATTATCACCCCTATTCTGTATTTCGTTTCGAACGAAATTCTCATACAAAAAAATATTTTTTTGTATGAGAATTTCGTTCGAAACGAAATACAGAATAGGGGTGTATAGGTAGTTACATTGCTGTGCAAAGTTGTAGAAAATATTATTTTAGACAACTTTGCTGAACACACTATTTATCTGTCTCTTAAGTTGACTGTTTTAGAGCATTTATTAAGTATTTAGTTATGGTGTCCCTAAAAAAGCAGTTTTTTTATTCTATCTTTTTTGAACCATTTTCTTTTAGAAAATGATCTTGATAAAACTTGTAGAACAAATATTGGCGCACGTTTTTGCTGAACAAAGCATGTTGATAAGTCTTAACGTTAAAACATTATAGACTATTTTGCTCAAAAAACCAAGTGGTTTTAAAATGCTTATTTCACATGGAGTTAGATCGCTAAAATTTTTCTTGTGGTATCATCTGAAACGCCATACTTAAAGAAATATTTGAGGAAAAAACTGCGAGGACAACTTTCTTTAAATTTGAATAAATCAATTTTAAAAATTCCCTGAAAAAACTTGAAAATTACCTGTATCACAAAAATGTCTAAACATAACAACATACTGTCTTGATTAAAATTGTAGGTTTTGACTAGATCTTAAAGTCTTCTTTGCACAACTTTTTTGTAGAATGTAAAGTAAAAGAGATAGAATTAATTATGTTTTTTTTTGTGATCCAACTCCATGTGATATAAGCATTTTAACACCACTTGGTTTTTTGAGCAAAAAAGTCTATAATTTTTTAACGTTAAGACTTATCGACATGCTTTGTTGAGCAAAAACGTGCGCCAATATTTGTTCTACAAGTTTTATCAAGATCATTTTTTAAAAGAAAATGGTTCAAAAAAGATAGAATAAAAAAACTGCTTTTTTAGGGACACCCTAACTAAATACTTAATAAATGCTCTAAAACAGTCAACTTAAGAGATAGATAAATGGTGTGTTCAGCAAAGTTGTCTGAAATAATATTTTCTACAACTTTGCACAGCAATGTAACTACCTATAACCTGAAACAAAAAAGTTAGAACTTGAATTTGGATTTAAACGAGGACCACTCTAACCGGATTTTTGCTCAAAAGAAGCATGGTATGATAACAAACAACTTCTTTAACCTCACTTAGTATCTAAAATGAACAACGACGGATAAAACCATTTTTTCCTGCTAAATTGTCGATTCGGACCATAGTGCACTGGTGAAGCCATGATATAAAGAAAAATAAACTTATCCTGACAACCAATGCCTACTGTGATTCTATACATTCATTGAAATTTGGAAAAAAAAATTGTGTCAGGATTTGTGTCGTTTTAATTGTGTCAGGATTTGTTCGTGTTCAAACTTTATGTTGTGTTAGTTTTATATCTACTGATGCAAAAACAACAGGAATAGCAATGAATAAAGCAAAAATATAAAGCAACTAATTGTTTAACCAGAAAATTAATCGGAAATTTTTACGCGGTTTAATTTTCAAGGCAAAACTCACGGGCGAAGAAACTTAGGCATAAGATTTGAGTTTTATAGTATTTCCAAACGCTGACAAAGATATTGCTTCGTGTAAAAATGAATCCAGAAATATTGTTTTAGACATAAATTATATATTTTTTTTTTTCGTTTGCAGAACGTAGACGGCAAAAAATTGCAACCTCCAGTTTTTTTTTAAAGAGTCAAATAATAATAGAATATTACCCATAAAATAATTATGTGCTTTATTGTACTTTGAAACGTGTGAGAAATAAGGAATACGAAATTGCTGAAAATTGCTCAACTAGCAATAAAGCTGGAGCTTGTTGAAGTATCAGTAATAATTAAATGAAATAAATTTCCTATTGATTCATGCATTTACATTAGAGAGGAGTGGATTAAAAATAAACTGCCTAGGCAACCAAGCGGTTTCTTGCAACATTGCCTATGAAATCAAGATAGGCACTGCTCGGTTGGCTCTGGCTTTGACAGTTCATTTGGCTTAAAACCAACCAGTCCGCTCTTTTTTATACTAGACCCTCTCTAATTTACACCATTGCTGAAAAATCAGTTAGAAGCTGTCATTTATTCTTATGCTGCAACTTCAGCAGAAATAAAAAAAAAATACTGAAGATTCAGTAAAATGATGTCATTTTGACACAAGTTCAAATTGCTGGAAGTATCAGCAGCATTATTTTGCTGGAAAGTTTGCTGAGTCAAGTCTAAAATCGACAATCAATCAGATTTTCAGCGATTTAGATTTGGTGTGTAGGATTGACCAGCAGTGTGTGCAACAGATCACGGCAGGCATTGCACAGATAGTTCGTGATTTTATCAGAAACCAGTCGGAACAATGTTTCGATATTTTTGTTATGAAAGTGCAATAAGAAAGCTTCATTTTGACAACTCAAAATGTTTCTTACGTCAAACCAATAAAACAAAAGATCTCTGTTCTAACTTCCAGATGCTAACTGAATCAAACTAAGTGGTGTTTCATAAAATTGCTCATTCTGAAGATGTCTGCACATTGTAGAAATACGAGTATCTGTCAAGGATAAGCAAATAAGGTAGTGGAATTTACTAATGAAATCACTAATCCTTCTGTTTTTCTTACAGGTATAAAGGCGCCCAAATTCATCAGGATTTGCTCATATTATAATTACTTTTGCACAACGTGAATGAAATTCAATACAATTTTCGCCACCTGTAATCCACACTTCAGGAGGACAGAGCACGTAACATATGGCGGTAGTAGCGTTCAAACGTCAAACTCCATAGCAGCTGGCTATGAGTGCCGTCGGTAGCTACACTACCAACTGTAAAATGAGTGAACGATGAGCAGCATGCGAAATGCTTTGCCTGTTTATCTGTGGATTTTACGTGATATTTTATTTCAACTTTGTCCATTACGAAGGTACATGAAGAATTATTCTTTGAAGACATGAATAGTTAGTAGTAATTTGAGTGTTCCGTGCTATAAATCTTACCTGTGGACACAGGCAAGCCTCCCGTGCTAGGATGTTGTACGTAACAGGCTAGATCTCCTTTTCTGCAAAGCTTACACGACTTGCGTAGCAAACGTGCAAAACGTGATCTACACCGCACTTATCTGCTGAACACAGGGACACTATTCCTGCTCAGATGTATGCAATTTGTTCGTAAAGCCACTTATTGCATGACTTGGTGACTCACATTCAGTCACACAAATATTACATCTATACACACTTGCAAGCAATACACTGCTCTTTGATTATCACCAACGGGTTGCTTATTTTCTAAGCGAATGTATCTGTTCACAATACACTTTGCCAACCTTTACGCAACAATGTGCACTTAATTAGGTTTCAACTTTAAATATAACTTTTCAGAAACTTTAGATATCTCGCCAATTTATTCACTGATTCATCCTGTCACAGCACGTGAAACTACTTCAGCCAAAGTGGCTAATTAGATTAGCAAACTTGACACCTGTGAACATAAATTCACGACACAAGGCTCTGAGAGTTGCAACAGGACTATACTCTAAGTGTATGGTACATCAAGGTACCAACTAGCAACTACCGATGAGTAGAGAAACTCTCGAACTCGAGAAAACACTTCCGATGGCGTTCACTTCCAAACGTAGAATGTTGAACCGGAGCGATTAGAACAACCAGCCCAGCAGTGGAAGTTTGTTGGTGGTTGTTGTTGTGGTTGTTGTCGTCGTCGGCGTCGTCGTCGTTTCGCTTCTTCTCCCTGTGAACATTTATACCGACCCACACCCACCCAACAGCTTTCCGCTTTCCACTGTTGTTTTCCGACCCTGTCCTCGTTGAGCTTATGTACTTTCGTTCGGTTGAAGGTTCGGTCGGTGGGTAGGGTTCCCGAACGTTTCTAGCGTGTTTGGTGAAAATGATGGAATTATTCGTTTCAAGTTACTACTTCTACACTTCATACTAGCTTTTGATTGCTTAATCTTGATCAGTAGTGACAAGGCAGAAATTTGTGCGACTAAGACTCAATAGTCTAGTTCGAATTAATTTCAGGACAAGCAATCATGGCCGAGTGGTGTTTTGGGCACAGGTCCAGTAAATTTTAATGATAATTCCTTAAGACTTCTAGGACATGTCAGAGAACCTACTCACATTAATAGTTGGAGAACTTAACCACTGCGACCTAGTTTGATGATCTACTGTGATATACTCTAGGACTGTGGATAAAATAGGTTTACCTTTATCACGATATAATTTGGGTTCAAAATTGCTCATTCCTCTGCAATTTCCATCCTTTGGATTTCACATAGAAATTATCATTAAAATTCTCCTAGCTCATCCAAGGGCAAGAGCGTAGAACTTAGCCTTGAACATATTTCTTAACCTGGATGTCAGTTTATTTATCGAGCTCAAGATTTCTAAAAGGATTTATATCAATAGCGTTCGAATAATTTTCATGATTTTTTAACTCAGAAAAAGTCAACAGTTCTGAGACTTTGAAACCATTCGGGATCTCTTACATAGTTAATTTTTCAAGTAAGGTACATAAACTTTCAAACATTTTCATTGCATTTGCCATCCCATGACTTCTTCGCCCATGTCCTGGGAATGGATCCAGAGAACCTAGTCTAAATAATGTAAGCTAAATTATAAGTCCACTAAATTCAAATGACATGTCCGAAAGACTTCCAATGTAAAGCACCTCTGTAGTAAATCTAGAGGATTCCGTAATCAAGTCTCCACCTGACAACTTAAAACCCTTTCCAGCATCCAGCAGCGCACAGATCCAAACGATGATGTTACCACAACAACGTAAGCAAAATCCGTCAGACCCATCAGAAAACACCCGCCAACGCGCTATGCCAACGGAGCCGGCATAAACAACCCATGTAGCGACAAGCCGAACCCAACCCGGGCGGGTAGGTACATAATGTAGTGTATAGCAAGGCACCTCCAGCTTAATGGTTATTCATATTGGGAAATCCAGTCAAGCGGTGATTTTGACCGTTTTGTCTCTTTAAATGGTGCTTTGGGTCCCATTTGTAATGGATTCCAATATAACACCAATAACACTAGTCGAGTTTTGTCCCTTTAAATTGGCTTACCGCACTGCTTCCACCCACAAATTGTGCAATACGCATGACCTGAGTCTTGAGGGATCTTGGTGTATAGTTACTGACTAACGCTCCGACCGATGAGCGGGAAATGGAGATATGTACCTACTCGTTCGTTTCACGTGCTTCTACAACGTGCTTCTACGATCTGGCGCAGCGCATACTACCCGAGGCAGCCATCAGCCGAAGGTTTAGTAGTACATATCACGGTGTTGGTTTTGTGTAAGTATGAGGGCGATACATATTCTTTTCATCCTCCTACACTACCCTAACGCTACAGCTGCTTGCAAACTTGCCGGATGGTGATGTGCTGAAATATTGCAGGAAAACCAGTTAACATGTACATTCTAACTGAGCCGGTGCCGGGTACCAGTTGAAAATCTTAACTCTTAAGCAGTACGCACGTGGCACGCCACTCACCACTTAAAATAAATTGAATTTCGTCGAACGATTGCTTTGGTTTGGTCGCAGTCCGTGTTCGTTTCCTGTATATGTAGGACTTATCCCACACTGTTTGTTCAGTCTCATGTAAACATGGTTAGGGTTCAGTCTTCCTGTAAACATGGTTATGGACGACGCATGGACCAGCATGGTACCACGATGGTTTTACATAGGCAATAACAAACACCTAAACAAACGATTCGTACCTCACCTGAGAGGAAGTTGTTGTTCCGTTCATACAATGCGCCATAAGCGCATTATAGCCACATACCAACTCTCAGTTTGTACACATATTTCTCGAGAACAACAACCTGTTAAAACTAGTGGATTACAGGATATGATGCATGTTGATCTTGAAATCGATGTTGGAAAGGACATTTGAACGTATTGCGGGATCAAAACCTAGATACATGGTTTACAACAGTGGTTCTTCGACTTCATTCGTTTGCGACCTACTTTGAGAAAGTCTATAAGATTGCGACCCATCAATATTGAATATAGATGTTGTTAGGCAGTATTGGCCAACTTTTCTTAACATGGTTTTTTAAAATGGCTGTATATATGTTCGATGGTCATGTTGTAGGCACTTTGTTTATTTCTCATTTTTTTTTTGGCTAAAATTGATAATGATGAATATAATTGAGCTAAAATGATATCATTGACAGAATCCAGACACCATTTCAGGTTCGCTGTTGCTAGGCCAAAATGCCCGTGGGCTATTGTTAAGCCAAAATGTCCTTAAACATTCTAAGGCTCTGAACCATTTGGTGGATTATTTTAACTTTTGGTTAAAATTTGACAGATGGAAAGTTATTGATTAACCCTGCTATCCGAGCGTGGTTATTTCTGACAGACAAGAAGTTAAATTTTGACAACGGTGGGTCAAAAACCGGTCGATCGACAACACGGGGATTTTCGAACATAGAAAATAACTTTCGAAATGTCACTTTTAGGCTGTGAACCATTTGCCGAGTTAAATTTAACTCGTGGTTAAAAGTGACATTTCGAAAGTTATTTTCTATGTTCGAAAATCCCCGTGCTGTCGATCGACCGGTTTTCGAGCCACGGTTGTCAAAATTTAACTTCTTGTCTGTCAGAAATAACCATGCTCGGATAGCAGGGTTAATCGATAACTTTTCATCTGTCAAATTTTAACCAAAAGTTAAAATAATCCACCAAATGGTTCAGAGCCTTAACCACGAGTTAATTTTAACTCGGCAAATGGTTCACAGCCTAAGGCTCTGAACCATTTGGTGGATTATTTTAACTTTTGGTTAAAATTTGACAGATGGAAAGTTATTGATTAACCCTGCTATCCGAGCGTGGTTATTTCTGACAGACAAGAAGTTAAATTTTGACAACGGTGGGTCAAAAACCGGTCGATCGACAACACGGGGATTTTCGAACATAGAAAATAACTTTCGAAATGTCACTTTTAACCACGAGTTAATTTTAACTCGGCAAATGGTTCACAGCCTAAAATGACATTAAAACACGAAATTGAACTAGCAATGGGCGATCTTGGATCAAATCACAAAAGATCGATTATTTTGGTTCGATTGCTCGATTTTTTTAATTGATCTGGATCGATCCTTTTCATTCGATTTTTTTTTTCACATTTGCATTTGCAATTTAGGCTGTGAACCATTTGCCGAGTTAAATTTAACTCGTGGTTAAAAATGACATTTCGAAAGTTATTTCTTATGTTCGAAAATCCCCGTGCTGTCGATCGACCGGTTTTCGAGCCACGGTCGTCAAAATTTAACTTCTTGTCTGTCAGAAATAACCATGCTCGGATAGCAGGGTTAATCGATAACTTTCCATCTGTCAAATTTTAACCAAGAGTTAAAAAAAATCGCCAAATGGTTCAGAGCCTTAATATTGGCCTGTGCCTGTACTCTTCAGCTCACGCTCGGGTAGTTGAAATTGTGTCTGAGCAGATCTATAGTACCGAAAGAGTATACGATGCTTGCACACATCTGTCCCCCCACCAAAAACAACCGGAGGCCTGTGGGATATTCATGACGAAATGGTAGAGAAAGTTCTTAATCTACATATGTACAAACATTCACTTATTATGACACATTTCAGGTTCCTCGGTCCTCTGCTATGTCAGAACTGGATCGCCATGGGGGCATATCGGCAGAGTTACAACATTTCTTGCATCAGCCTGTTTTACCACGTTCTGTCGATCCTTTTCGAGCATGGAAGAAACAGCATAGTGTATATCCCCATGCTCGAGACTATTTATCAAGGATGGTAACAAGTGTTCCGTCAGAGCCAGGGCCCAACAAAGTCACCTTCAATCGAAAATCGTCAAGCGACGACGAAGCTGTCAACCATCATTTTCAATTGAAAGTCATTCCGTCATCTCTTCGAGCAGATCCCCTTCAACATCAGCAGAACCACTTTCGATCAGTATTCATGCTGTTTGTTTTGGCTCGTGTTCATTTCGTATTTCATTGTCAAATGAACTTACTTTCGTATTGAAGCGAAACTGTTCGATCCACATTCGCGCAGATTTTCAGACTTTTGTTGATTGTTGACGCAAGCATGTGCACGTGCATGTTAAATTTATCATTGACGGGTGGTTTGTTCTACCATCAATGTGTGTGTTTTTTAATCGGGATGACGTCTAGAAGGCGAAAATCGATATCCGATGCCATTTTGAAGCCCAATATTGCGGAGGAAAATGTGGAAAATACTGTCAAATACTAGAGCTGCACCGAACAGGCCTGGTATTCGGTGTTTACATGCAAAGTTTCGCTAATATTCGACCATTTTCTAACAAATGAGTGGTCAACAAAACGATTGAGTGATTTTTTTTAGTTCAACGCTTGATATTCGGCCGAATACTAAGGCGGCCAAATATTCGGTGAAGAACTATCAAACACCCATCAATATGGGTATTTTTGGAAACGGGATGACGTCTAGAGAATAAAATCAATATCAGACGCCATACAAAATGGCGGCTTCCCATTTCTAAAAAGCTGGAAATACTGTAAAATACCCATCAATATGGGTATTTTCTTTTTAAATTGGGGTGACCTCTAGAGGCCGAAAATCGATATCCAACGA